ATACGTATAATTATGGAATTTTCCCAAACATTTTGCTGTTCTCTGCTTTTCAGGGGAAAGCTGCCCATATGTTTCTAATCCTTGAGCACAATTGAATTACTAGCCCATTGTCTGGTGAGAGCTGTTTGGTCAAGGAGCCCTGTGGACTTCTCAGGGACTTTTATGCTTTGAAAGAGGTTGTCCTGATTTGCCATTGTTAATGAAACTTGTACCACACAATGCTCCAGTTGAAGACCCACTGAGAACATGACCATGTACTTCCTTTCATCTCTACATGGGGGAGCTGCACAGCAAATAGGAGCTGTACAAACCCAGCAGCACTACTGTTCCTCTGGCATTCGTAATTGTCTTGAACTTTCTTATGTCATCTCCAAATAGCTTTGTATTAGGAATGATGGTCGGCACTGTTTCCATCCTTCGTGAATAAATAAAAATGTCGTGCCACCCTGAAGAACCTTTTGTGATCATTCTTGCCTCTGCATATGCATCCTTTGCATCCTGCTGGCTTACATTTCAATATTCTGAACCTGTGTGATGTTCAGCGTAGGAATTGTGAAATAGGCACTTAGTGCAATAGGTATATTTTCTATTCTATCAAGCACTTGTTTGCATCAGATGGCTGACTAATGCATTTGATGAGTCAAAGGCCTTACGTCTTTTGTTGAGGAACGCAGAGAAATGCAAGAGATTTTCCTGAATATTAAGCTGTATCCTATTCATGCAAATAATACCAAAAGTGTGCATTTACCTTTAGTCCTACAGCTGAAGCAGAAAATACGAGGGAAGAAAGACAGTGTGATTAAATAGAGGGTCAGGCGGATCTAAAGAAGAATTTTAATTGCAAATTTCTTTTTTATGAGTTGACCATTTCATGAAAATTTACCTTTTCTACTGAGTCAGGATCTACCATTTAATAAAATACCCTGTTAATTCATACACACACATTAACACACCGAGACACTAGGAAGCTCTCACGGTCTGGTCCTTAGGATATGGCCACTACTATCTCTCTCTGGCATATACATAGAGAGAGAGTTGTTGAGTTGACCACGATGGGAGGAGATTGCCCATCTTTCTCCTGTGGTGCACCTGGTGGATTCAAACAGCGTGTCTGTGTTGACAGGTTAGGTCCTTAGTACTAGGCCATCAGAGCTCCCTACATTACTGTGTGTTGGTTTGAGGTGTTGTGGTTTTGTTTTGTTTTAATTTTTATATCTTTTGGAAGCAGGAATGGCATCCACTTCCTAAGCAACTTGCCTCCGGAAATGCTATGAATTTTGATAAATGTCAATAGCTATAGAGGGACTTCACCTCTTGTTCATAGGGTTGCTATGAGTCAGCCTCGACTCGAGATTTTATATATACAGTTGTTGTTGATCACCTTTGAGTATATATGCCTAAGAATCACCAGGGAAATTTATAATAGTCACCTGAAAATATTATTTAAAATGATATTCTGTTCAGTCTGTGGAGTGGAAATGCAAACTCTTAGCAGAGATTCAAAATGAAATGAGCAAACGCTGAAGTGCAAACGCTAACAGTCAAATATTTTAAATTGTCTACTCTCATACGTAGAGGAGCTCTGTTGGCTTAGTGGTAAGGAATTAAGCTGCCAACCCAGAGGTACGTGGTTCCAATCCACCAGCTGCTCTGTGGAAGAAGGATAGGCAGTCTTCTCCCATGTGATTTGCTACCTCGGAAAACCCACTGGAGAGTCAGTAATGAATGGGTCAGTTTCAACTCAATGGTACACAACAACAACAACAACAACAACAACAACAACAACTCTCATAATTAAAACAGGAAGTGCTGGCAGCTAAGTGGTAAAGTGTTGCACTGTTAACCCAAAGACACATAGTTCTAGTCCACCAGCTGCTTCGTGGGAAGAAGATGAGCAGTTTCTTCCCATGTCATTAACTGTCCTGCTGGAGGGTCAGCCATGGATCGATCGGTTCACAACCACATAAGTAAAATAGGGGGCTCTGGTGGCCTGGTGGATAACAAGCTGTTCTGCCAACTCAGAAAGCAGGTGATTCAAATCCACCAGCTGATCTTCAGGAGAAAGATGAACGGTCTCCCTCTGTTTAATTTATAGCCTCTGAGAAATGGCTGGAAAGTCAGCTGTGAGTCAATTCAACAGCAACAAGAGAAGGGGAAGGAGAGAAGTAAAATCTGTCAAGGGTTCCTCCCACATGGAACTAAAAGAATACAGTGTCGTCGAATAGAACTGACACAAAGCTCATCCTCCAATGGATTTCTGAGATTGAGAGAGAGTAGATTATCCACCTTTCCCAAGTGCAGCTGCTGACAGGTTCCCACCAGTAGAGAGTCATGGTGTTTAGGTTAGCAAAGCCACTACCTGTGGATTATGCCACCAGAACTCCTTAATTAGTTATATTTATAAATTACATATAAGGACCATTAGTAGTCGACTGGTTGGCACTTAACAAGAACAGGAAAAACAACAACATATCTGTATATGTTTTGCAAATAAAGCATACAGAACAGAAAAGAAGCAATTTTGGTTCTAAATAAAAGTTGTTGTTGTTATGTGCCATCGAGTCACTTGCGACTCACAGAGACCCTATGTACAAGAGCTCTAAATGCTGTTCTATCCTGTGCCAACCTAGCCATCTCAAATGCACTTGTTCCCACTGCTCCAGTCACAGAATCGATCCATCTCACCAAAGGTCTTCCTCTCCTTCGCCTCCCCTCCACTCTGCCAAAACATGATGTCCCTTTCCAAGGACCTCCTTGCAACATGCCCAAAATATGTCAGATGAAGCTTCAGAATCCTTGACTCCAGGGAACATTCTGGCTTCACCCTCTCCAGGACAAACCTGTTTGTTCTCCTAGCAGTCCATGGTATATTCAACACTCTTCTCCAGCACCACAGCTCAAAGGCATCAATTCTCTTTCCATCAACCCTATTCACTGTCCAACTCTCTGATGCATAGCACATAATTGCGAAGACTATAGCCTGGATCAGGCACACCTTAGTCTCCAGCCTGACATCATTGCTCTTCAGTACTCTTGAGAGGTCCCTCACAGCAAACTTCCCCAATGCAATTCGTCTCCTGATTTCCTGGCTACTGTTACCAAGAGTTGACTGTGGAGCCAAGTAAATGAAAGCTGTTAACTATCTCAATCTCTTCACCATCCATGCTGATGCTGCCAATTGGCCCAGTGGGGAGAATCTTTGTTTTCTTGACATTTAGCTTCAGTCCATATAGGAGGCTGTAATAGAAATATTATTTATACAGAGAGGGTACAAAAATAGAAACAGAAATAAAAGTATAAAATAAGAAACATGAACTCAATTTCCAATATCTTCTTTTTATAACTAAACTAGAAAACCCTGGTGACCTAGGGAGTGGGGAGTTGCACTGTTAAGTCTAAGGCTGTGTTTCTGGTAGTTTGTATTCACCTAGTAGCTCCACAAGAGAAAGAGAGGCAATCTCTTACTTTATTTCCATCCTCAGAAACCCAATGAAGGGGCAGCTATGATTTGAGCCTGACTTGATAACTTGATAATTATGAGAACAAGAAGGAGATACATAAAATAATTACATTTTTCTTGTGATATATATATACACATATACACACACACACACACACACACACACACACACTTCATTTTTGAGAACACTGCTAAAATGTGTACACCAACAATATGGTGTATTGCAATAGTTTTCAAACTTTGAGATGCATCAGACTCGCCGAGAGGCTTGTGAAAACACGGATTTCTGGGCTCCAGTCCCAGAGTTTCTGCTTCCACTAGTCTGGGATGAGGTTTAGGAATTTTAATCTCTAACAAATACCAAGTATTCCTGGTCTGGAGACTGTATGGTGAGAATGACTCCAGTACTAGTTTACAGTACATATATCAGGGTTAGTCTGCTTGAGTTTGATACCAAGACATTTAACTACTAATTGTGTAACTTGGGGTAAATTAGTTTATTACGCAGGGATCAGTTTTCTCACCTGTAAAAACTCCTTACCATTTGGAAGGGCATAATGAAAAGGCAAAGTGTTTAATATCCAATGCCTATCACCTAAAAACATCAGTATTTACAAGTTGGCTGCTATGTCATCATAACTATCATCATCATCATCCACCTGTTTAAAGTCACAAAGTAGATTTTAGAGATTTTCAGTTTCATGATTAAAATAAAAATCTAAATTAATTTGTATGAATCATGGGGTCCATTTTCTTTTTGCCTTTGCATTATACATTTAAAAGACCATGTTCCAAATGACATCTCTGTCCAGTTGCATGGTAGCGATGATGCTTCTTAGGAAAGTCTACTAAAAGAGAACATTGTGTTCAGCCCTCTCCCTTTTGTGTGTAACAGTTAATAATTTGTGGCTAAGTGTGTATTTTCTGTTGTCCTTGGTGTGTTACTAAATTGTTGTTGCATGATACAAACTCGAAAGTTTTGGTGGTTGTCTTCTAATGTTCCGGGGCATGAGAATGATGAAGTCAGGTGCTTGGATTTAACGAACGCTGGTGGTGCAGTGGTTAAAACACCCAACTGCTAACTGAAAGGTTGCCAGTTGGAACTCACCACCTGCTTTGAGGGAGAAATACGTTACAATGGGCTTCAATAAAGAACCCTCCAAACCCTAGGAGGCAGTTACATCTTGTCCTGTTGGGTTACTATGAGTCAACCTTAACTCAGCAGCAATGGATTTGTTTTATTTTTTTTTTTTATTTTTAATTTGGTGGCACAGTGGTTAAAAGATTGATTGCTAACTGAAAGCATCTCAAACCCTGCAGCCACTCCAGGGAGAAACACATGGGAATCTGCTTCTGTAAATATTTTACAGCCTTGGAAACCTTTTGGGTCAGTTCTACTCTGACCTATAGGACCATGATAATTTGGGATCAATTTTGTAGCAAAGGGGTTTGGTTTTAGCTTGGTTTTGCTTTGGATTTGCGTCATTCTTAATTCTTCTCCCCTTTTTCCTTCTCTCTTCCTCTTCTTGTGCACTGTCAGGCCCCAGTACCACCTGCCAAGAAGATTCATGTGCCAACCAGGGAGTCTGCATGCAGCAGTGGGAAGGCTTTACCTGCGACTGCTCCATGACCTCCTATTCTGGGAACCAGTGCAATGATCGTGAGTAGTATTTTTATACCTGGAAATATTTCAAGGAGTGCAGAAGTTTGGAGAAAACTGAGTGACAATATGTAAGAGAGTGACTGTCCTGTAGCATTTATGAACAATTTTCAATTTTCTATTTCAGAAATTTGAACAATACAGGGTTAGTACTTGCATGGGAAGAACAAAACAATGTTTCTTGTTCAGCATTTCTAAATATTTCCTCATCTTCTTTACCCCTTTTGTTTTCCACTAAGATTAAAATGGCTATGCATGAGAAAAGAGTAAGAAAAAAGATTTTGAAAGAATTCAGTTTCTCATTAATTAAGTCATGTCAATAACAATTTTGAGACTTCGATTCTCATTGCCTACAATTTAGGGATGCTTATGGAAATAGTTAATGTAGAAAACCAACTAAGTGTAGAGAATATCTTCATCTTTTCAAATGATGAAGATGCTTGGGGTGATCACATGTTCAATAATGCCCAAGATAACTTCTGTGGAATACAAATGTAAGAGCCTGGGATGTAGTGAGAATGCCATATTAATTACAGACAGTTTCAGATTGCAAACAAATTCCACTACTTAAGTCTGTCTTTTGAGTCAAATTTGCAAGTAAATTGAAACAGATGTGATCTAGATCTACTATTAGCTAGTCAAATATTTTAATATACAGTATATTCTATACCTTTCTAGGCGTAGAAATAAACAGAGCAAAACATCTTTGACATTATACTACAGTAAACTGATAATAGGATTTTGATGTGTGCTGCAAAGTAGCACTAATTCGTTGTTATTAACTACTGCGTGTACTTAAAATATTTTCGTATAATAGGCTTCAAGAGATTGGAAGCATTGATATATATACAATCAGTTTTTCTCCAAATGGATTTATGCCATCCTTGACTACAGAATGTGTTTTGGTTTTCCTCCAATTAGATAAGTTTAAAATCTTTTCAAAATACTTTCATGACCATGATCCCATCTAGTTAAATACATTGGTATCTATCTGGCTTATATACAAATTGTTAGTTTGTGTATGTACATATTGCCTTTTTTGTAAACATATTTGTGTGTGTACACCTGCGTGTCTTAATCATATTAGAAGAGAGTTGCTCTAGTTCTAAGAAGAAATTGATGTCAGGAATGTGATTCTTATCCTGATGGTGATGGTGCTTATAAGCTGTAGGTATTTACAAAACTGTGTTTTCATTTCTTTTTTGTGTTATTTTTGTAGCCTGCTCTTTTTTTAAAAAAACAGTAAACACTTGAAATTTCTATGCAGCAAAGAAATTTACTGAAAAGTCCTACCTGGTGGTATCTGCCCCATGTTTGATATTCCAAGGTAGCCTTGTTGGTAGAAATAATCCAAACTAACAATCAATTAACCTTCTATTTTTTCAAGATGAATTGATTTCTCTGATTAAATAATAAATGCTTATTATAGTTTGCCTACATTGGAGCAGGTGGCAATTACAAAGCTAGCTTCACCACATCCATTTGATTTGCTGACGACTTCTCAAAGTTATTTATATGTAGAGCTGTCTCTTGTTAGCTCTCTTTCCTATTCTTCATTGGCAGATTTTTGTTAGTCTTTTAAAATACACTAAGTGAGGAATTTGACATGTAAAAAGAATTTTTTTTATACCTTTTGAACCAAATGTGTGCATCTGCCTCTGTTCCTGTAATGAAAAGAACATGAAGGCTGCAGAACATTTTGTCATCATATTACTCTAATTTTCTTTGACGTTATCTAAAATCTTGTTTTCATAGTTATGAGTTGGAAATATCAGTCCATGCTGGAAAAGGCTGTTATTATATGGACATATTCAGAGCAGCTAGGAAATTGTGCAATGTGGCCTTCCTCCCCCCCCCCCCAATGTGTTTGCATAGATCTTTCCCCAGTGAATAGTGGTACATGTTTGTTTATTTATGTACACAAATGCATGTCATATCACATATCACAGTACTCAAGAAGATACTCTACATTCAGTAAAGGCAAAAGGTAAGTCAGTGCCACAATGGTGTATAAGCACAGTCTTCAGAAGGTATGTATGGATTTTCTGTCCTTGTTCAGCTCACCTTTTGTTCAGGGTCATGCAATATTTTACGATAAAGTTTAACTGGAGCTCTTTCTAGTTTTCTGATTTTTTTTATGAGCAAATTATATCTCAGTCCATAATGAGGACTGATAACATTATTTGATTTGGACAATTTGTTGTTCTATGATGAAGGACTTGGTTGGTGAAAGTCACATTTTCTTATTTTTCAAAAAATATTTCTGAGATATTCACGTTTCAGTGGATGTGTTTTTAATTTTTTATTCTGTAAATAGTGCAGTTGAGTCTTTTGATGGTAGAAGGATTGCTGGTCTTAGATGATGATGGTAATGAACTGTCATCTGTTGAGTTAATCTGTTTAGTAACTGTTACCTGTTTAGTGAAACTGCTTGGTTAATCCTTGCTGGAAAGTAGATTAGATTGTCTCTAACCCGATGACTGTAAGGAAATGAGAGCAAGTGCATTTCAAGTATAAGATATAGAGATAAATATATTTAAGAACGCAAAATATGGGCTATAAATTCAGAAATAAACTTTCAAGGCAATTCAAACATAAAAATGATATCTTCTTTAAAATTTTGCTATAGCTATCATTGTATTCAATAATTGCATTTAAAATTACTTGGAAAAAGTTATTTTCTATAATTAGCACTAGGTTGTTTTAATCTAGGTAATTGCCTCTCTATGTAATAAATCATTATTTGTACATAAACTTTAATCTCTAGAATTAATTTGTTATTTGTTAATTTGTTATTTTAGATTGTAGCTATTGTCAAAATGAAGTTACCTTTCTGATGGTTATGCAACTACTTATGTGGTATCACTTGGTAGCTTGGTGGCATCAGAATTGAGAGTTATCCCTCTTGTCACCAGTAGAGTTAGAAACCACTGATTTAAAAACATGTTGGCAAAGGTCATGTGGGAAACCTGCAAAGAAAGCAGAAAGGGGAAATAAGTCAATGGAAAAAGAAATAATGAAGGAAGAGGAATAAAGAGAAAATTAGGAATTGAGGGGGTATTTTATGTTAGAGCAGAGATGTTGTGCATAAATGTGTTGGTGACATAGTTTGTCTTTGGCTTAAATAACAGAAATGTGGTAATGTATTATACATTGAGGCTATGACCACCAAGAAATTAGAAGCTTTTGTCCAACTTCTTGAGATTTCAGTGAAATAATGGCTTTGCCCAATTATTGAGTATAGACTATTCTATGGATCGATTCATATTTATAATTTAAATGGTGTTTTTTAGAATGCTGTCATGAACTATAAATGCAATCTAATTGTAAACGGTTATTTTGTGTGTGGTTGAGGAGATGACCCTGTTCTTTAGAGTCATATATATCTAATATATCATGTATTCTTTAAAATAATGTAATATGACTGTGTGAATTCATATTGAAGCCAATTTAAAGAAGTATTTTGGGGTTGGATATCATTTTTTATATTTAATTTTGTACATGTTTGTCTAGGAGTAGCAAACTGATCTTTTTTAAAAAGAAAATATCTCCATTTGTGACAGTGAAAGGTAAATTAGAGAGCTGTTGGATAGAAAGATGACTAGGTTTTAAATTTTTAAGAGAAAATATTCCATTTTTAATGTATAGAGAAGTTCATTATATCTAAGTATTACATTTAAGGTCTTCCTCATTTCTAGCATTGGCTACATTGATTGTGACTTTTTTTTTCTTTTTTGTCTGATCACATATAAATGTCTTTGTGAGTAGAACATATATTTAAAAACAGCATTACTTTTATTATGAGTAGATTAAGGCTGGGTGATTTTCTTTTATGCCATCATTCCTTTTTGAGAGTAGTAGAGTATATGAAGGTAGTGAGGTAAATGTCAAACTTACTACTAAGATTGTTGTTGTTGTTGTTATGTGCTATCGAGTCGCTTGCAACTCGTAGTGACCCTCTGTGCAACAGCCCTAAACTCTGCTCTGTCCTGTGCCAATTGGGCTGTCTCTGACACTCCCATCCCGATTATCCCAGTCACTGAATCAATCCACCTCATAGAGGGCCTTCCCCTCCTACGCTGTCCCTTCTCCCTCCGAAGCATGATGTCCTTCTCCAAGGACCTGTCCCTCCTTGCAACATGTCCAAAGTGTGTTAGATGGAGCCTCAGAGTCCTTGCCTCCAAGGAGCCACCCGGTTTAACCCTTTCCAGGATGAATCTCTTTGTTTTCCTAGCAGTCCATGGTACTCTCAATATTCTCCAGCACCACAGCTCAGAGGCATCGATTCTCCTTCTAGATAGTTATGCGTAAGTAGTAAATGATAAGACAATTTTTACTTTAGGTTTGCTTTATTCTTTTTTATTTTATTATGATTTATTTACAAATTTTGAATACATTATTTTTCCCAAAAGATCCTTCCCATTTCCTTCACCACACACACCTATCAAATTGTGCATCCCTTTGATTAACACCCTAACCCCCATTCACACCCCTCTATTCCCACCTCCCCCCCTTGGATCCTCATACTGATTCTACAATAATTGTTTTATACAGTATTTGTCCTTTTGGGATTGAGTTAGCTCACTCAGAGTAATGCTCTCCACTCCCTCCCAAGTTAGGTAGTAATTACAAAATCATTCCTCCTGCGTGTTGTGTAGTATTCCGTTGTATGAATGTACCACAACTTCTCAATCCATTCATTTGTGGTTGGATGTCTTGGCTGTTTCCATGTTGTTGTGATGGTGAATAATGCTGCTGTGATGAACGTTGGTATATGCGAGTCTAACCATCTCAGATGCAATTTTGAGTTAATATAGGATCCAGTCAGATCTATGGAAAGGCAGACAAGTTTCACTCTCTAAGGATGGTCTTTAGGACCTCTGAAAAGTGTGGTTATCTGACTTCTCAGAGGATTAGCTTCACATGAAATCCGGCTAAGTGGCACATGCTATAAGAAGAATATGAACAACAAATAGAACTTTAAAGGATTCTTAGATGAA